AAAATTTAGCTGAGAAGCTTTAATGTCATTCTTCCAGGAAATGTTCTCTGAACCTTGGAATAGGTGAACTGCCACTTGTGTCCATGCTCATGGCTCCCTGTTCTTCTTGGTGCTTACCATAATTGTAATTATAAGATAATTGGGGCTGGGAATATGGCTTAGTGGTAGAGTGCTTGCCTAGCAATCATGAAGCCCTGGGTTCAATGCCTCAGTACCACATAAACAGAAAAGCCATAAGTGGTGCTGGAGGTCAAGTAGTAGAGCGCTTGCCTTGAGCACAGAGAGGCTCAAGGACAGTGCCCAAGACTGGCAAAAAAAAAAAAAAAAAATTGGCATAACTATTTGCATAATGTCTGTCTTTCCTACTGTTCTCTAAGTGCCATGCAGCTGGGAACATGCCTGCTTTGTTCACTGAGGTGCCTTTAGAACCCAAGCATTGCTCAAGAAGTATTTGTTGAGTGAAGGTCCCTTCTAACTATCATGTTCCAGGGTCTCCCCTCATAGTCCCATCTTCCTTCCTTCACCCTCCAACCTAATGGAGGTGCAAATAATTACCTGGGGACAGGTGACATTGAAAGAGAGTTATCGAAATCAAAGGAGAGCTCAGCAAAGGACAGAGATCTTTATCATATCTACGGCCATCAATGGATTAGCCCCCAAACTCCTAACTAATGGTCTATAGTAGTCTTTTTTCTTTTTTTTTTTTTTGTCGGTCATGGGGCTTGAGCTCTGGGCCTGGGCTCTGTCCCTCAGCTCTTCGGCTCAAGGCGAGCGCTCTACCACTTGAGCTACAGCGCCACTTCCGGTTTTCTAGTGGCTTATTGGAGATAGAAGTCTCACGGTCTTTCCTGCCTGGGCTGGCTTTGAACCGGGATTCTCAGATCTCAGCCTCCTGAGTAGCTAGGATTACAGGCGTGAGCCACCAGCGCCCGGCAGTCTTTTTTCTTTTTCTTGTCGGTTGTGGGGCTTGAACTCTGGGCCTGAGCGCTGTCCCTCAGCGCTCAAGGCTAGTGTTCTATGACGAGCTCCAGCACCACTTCCAGTTTTCTGGTGGTTTATTGGAGATAAGAGTTTTACGGACTTTCCTGCCTGGGCTGGCTTTGAACCCTGATCCTTAGATCTCAGCCTCCTGAGTAGCTAGGCTTACGGCGCCAGGCTAATCCATAAGGTTTAAATTGCTGTTCTGAGTGGCAGGAGGCAATTTTCAGCAATCCTGGTTCATCCTGCCCAGATGTGAATCATCCTTTGTCTACTGTATGCATAATCTATGTGCTATTTGTCCAATAATAGTTGAGAAAAAAAGGGGATAACTAATTACAACATGCTGGTACGATGGTTCTATTTTATTATTTTATTGTCTATTAATATCAATCTCAAACTATGCTTAATTCATAATTAAACTTTGGCATAAGTATATCTACATAGGAAAAAAGCCCTCATTATATATGGACTCCATACTATCTTCAGTTTCAGGGTCCACGAGAGATCTTGGAACTCCTGAGAGTAAGGGAGAACTATCGTACTCTAAACTAATGGCAGATTGCTAAGGTATCAGTAATAAGATTTAAGCAAGTAACTAAAATACTGATTAATAATTAAGGCATTATGTGCTAGGACTTAACCTAATGAATAATGTATGTGGCTTCTAAGCAAGGTATTAGGAAATAATTAAGGTATTAGTAGATGATCAAATATTAACTACTCAGATGTTAGCTGATAACCAAGGGATTAATTTAAAACCAAGATGTTAGCAGATATTAGTTAACCAATGACTAAGGTGACAGTTAACAGGGATTTAGAGTGACATTTCTTTTTTTTTTTTTGTCCTGGGGCTTGAACTCTGGGCCTGGGTGTGGTCTTTCAGCTCTTCAGCTCAAGGCTAGTGCTCTACCATTTGAGCCACAGCACCACTTCCAGTTTTCTGAGTGGTTTATTGGAGATAAGAGTTTCACAACTCGGGCTGGGAAGGTAGCTCAGTGGTAGAGTGCATGCCTTGCAAGCATGAGGCCCTGGGTTCGATTCCTCAGCACCACATAAACAGAAAAAGCCGGAAGTGGTGCTGTGGCTCCAGTGGTAGAGCACTAGCCTTGAGCTGAAGAGCTGAGGGACAGCGCCCAGACCCAGAGTTCAGGCCCCATAACCGGCAAAAAAAAAAAAAAAAAGAGTTTCACAACTTTCCTGCCCAGGCTGGCTTTGAACCGCGATCCTTAGATCTCAGCCTCTAGAGTTGGAATCAGTAGAAAGTTAACAAAGTCTACAAGAATTTAGGTCTGATTGAGAATATAAAATCCTCAATTATCCTGGAAGGTTCTGGGAAAATAGTTTGCTCATTTTTACTGTTCAGATAGGGTTTAGTCAGGGACAGGCATGGAGCTGGTACTCAGAGTGCTTACTGTGTAATCCAGTTTAATCTGGAGGGCAGGGAAGGGCAATTGCTTCAACAGTGACAGTATATAATGAGTGAGTGAGTGAATCAGCAAGCAAACTGTGACAGTAAAGCTTAAGGGAGGCACAAAGGCTAGGTGGCTAGGACAACAGGTACATTAGCATGAATAGTTTAGTTTTGGATTGCTGAATTAATGAGATGCTCACTAGGCAGGTGGATTTGTGTCCAGCATAGATACAATGTGGGGATTTTGAGTGTCATCAGGGTAATAAGATAGTGGTCAAAACCATGAGATAAAAAATGTGGTGATGGGGCTGGGAAGTTGGCTCAGTGGTAGAGCGCTTGCCTTGCATGCCAGAGGCCCTGGGTTCGATTCCTCAGCACCACATAAGCAAAAAGAAAAAAGCCAGAAGTGGCACTGTGGCTCAAGTGGTAGAGCGCTAGCCTTGAGCTGAAGAGCTGAGGGACAGCGCCCAGGCCCAGAGTTCAGGCCCCACGACCGGACCAAAAAAAAAAAAAAAAAAATGTGGTGATTACAGATAAACATATGAAGTAGGAAAAGAGACCCACCTAGAACCCCAAGGAAGACCAGCAGGGAAGGGGTAAGTAGGAAGAGACATCAGCAGAGACTTGAGATGAATGAAGCACTCTGAGACATAGGAGGGAAACTATGGTAGGAAACTCATTGGAGGAGAATTTGTCATGAAGAGCTTGGTCGGCAATGTCACACATGGTTGAGAGGTCAAGTAAAATAAGATCAGAGAGATGTTCTATTAGATTCAACAATCAGAGCTAAGTAATTGTGAGTAAAGTAAGGCATAAATATGGATGGTAGACAAGGAAGCAGCTCAGGAGAATGTGGTTCTGAGATGCTACTATGAAAATGTTTGTGATTCAAACTGTATAGCCCATGATAATGACAATGCCTTGGGAAGGTTAAAATGTGTTTGTGACTTTAGCTAAGTATCACTGTTCCATAATACTGTGAAATATGTGAAATTTATGTAATCACCTAATCTCAATTTTTTTTTTTAAAGTGAGAGATCGGATGGGTCAGGAGCGAAGGGTGACAGTTGTCAGACACCTTGTATTCATATACTGTTTTGTAGAATGGGAACATTTTTGTACAACTACTTAGAGATAATAATAAAAAATTAAATTAAAAAATTGAAAAAGTTTGTGATAGCTGTTTTTATGTTTGTTTGTTTTTTGGTCTTGGGGCTTGAACTCTGGGTCTGGGTGTTGTCCCTGAGCTCTTCAGCTTAGAGCAAGTGCTCTACCACTTGAGCTACAGTATCACTTCCAGTTTTCTGGTGGTTTATTGGAGGCTCATGGACTTCCTGCCTGGGCTGGCTTTGAAGTGTGATCCTCAGATTTCAGCCTCCTGAGTAACTAGGATTACAGGCATAAGCCACCAGTGCCTGCCTGATATCTGGATTGTTGTGTGCATATATGCATGAGCAAATGTAGAACAGGGCTTAGAGTAGGGTTGGGGGCAAAGGATACAGGCTACCATGCAGGGGCTTGTGGTTACCACACACCATCCCTTTACTCTGGGCAGCTTTTGAGGACCTTGTTAAGGAAGGCTATGAGGGAGGGCCTGGGTGCTGTCCCTGAGCTTTTTTTACTCAAGGCTGGCACTATACCACTTGAGTAACAGCTCTACATCTAGCTTTTGGTTAAGTGGAGATAAGAGTCTCATAGCTGGGTGCCAGTGGCTCACACCTGTAATTCTAGCTACTCGGGAGGCTGAGATCTGAGGATCGCAGTTCAAAGCCAGCCCTGGCAGGAAAGTCTGTACAACTCTTATCTCCAACAAACACTCAGAAATCTGGAAATGGCACTGTAGCTCAAGTGGTAGAGTGCTCGCCTTGAGCTGAAGAGCTGAGGGACAGTGCTCAGGCCCAGAGTTCAAGCCCCATGACCGACAAAAAAAAAAAAAAAAAAAACCACGCCCCCAAAAAACGTCCCCGTGAGACACTTATCTCCAATTTACCACTCAAAAACCAGAAATGGTGCTGTGACTCAAAGTGGTAGAGCCCTAGCCTTGAGCAAAAGATCTCAGGGACAACGCCCAGCCAGGCCCTGAGTTCAAACTCCACAACCAGAAAAAAAAAAAAAAAACCTAGCGGTTCATACTTACATTTCTAGTTGCTCAGAAGGCTGAGATCTGAGGGTCTTGGTTCAAACTCAGCCTGGGTAGGAAAGTCCATAAGACTTCTCACCAATGAACTCAAAAAAAAAAAAAAAAGAGCCAAAGTAGAGTTTTGGCTCAAGTGGTACAGTGCTAGCTTTGGGCAAAAGAAACTCAGGGACATGGGCTGGGAAGGTGGCTTGCTTCACAGATATGAGGCCCTGGGTTCGAATCCTCAGCAACCACGTAAATAGAAAAAGCTGGAAGTGGCACTGTGGCTCAAGTGGTAAAGTAGCAGCCTTGAGCTGAAGAGCACAGAGACAGTGCCCAAACCCGGAGTTCAAGCCCCACGACCAAAAAAAAAAAACAGCTTAGGGACAGCGCCCAGCTTTGAATTAAAGTCCTAGGACTGGTGGGCATGCGCATGTGTGCATGTGTGTGCACATACACACAGACGACTAGAAGAGGAAAACAACAAACACAAATTTGATCTGGATTTCCATTGGCTGAAAATTCATACTGATTGCAAGTTTTCATTGATCACAAGTAATTTTTTGGTTAATATGCAAAAACATTTATTGAATATTTTCTATTTGGCTTGTACTACTTAAGGCACTTTTACATATATCTCATCACAACTCTTCTAAGAGCCCTGTGAGGTAGGAATCAGTCCCATTTTACAGAGACCTGGCCAAGGACGAGATTATTGCTTTATACCCTCTGCCTGTCACATGTCCCCATTGGCTAGAGGTTTTTATTAGCTGGTGATTCACCATCAAAAGAGTTTTCAGTGGCCAGTAGTAATTCCTATCAGTTGCTCTGGTTCAAATAATCAAAATGCTAGAAATTTTTCCCCATAGGAGTGATAGATATGGTAAGAGGACCAGTAGATCTGTCACTGGGAAGCACCACTTGTTTGTTCTGGTCACCTATACACAGTGAGATGGAATGTGGAAGGGAGGAGACAGGGAATTTGGTCATAAGTCTTCTCGCTTCTTCAGGATGAGCTTTGCCACTAGGCTTGTGATATGAGGCCTGATTTCCTCCACAGATACAGTCGGGTCCCATGCTCCCACCACTTTTCCATCTGGGGCTACGAGGTACTTCCAGAAGTTCCAGGTGGGCTCTTTTCCAGAAGTATCTTAAAAAAAGGAGGGAAAACCAAGTGTGCTTCTCTGTGTAATTCCACTATCAGTATAACACCGATACCCATCCACACCCCAGAACCACTGAGAATAAGACTCAGGTATTAATATTTTTCAAAAGCTCTCCAAGAGGTCCCAGTGTGAAATCAAAGATGAGCACAACTGCTTTAGAATTCTGTGATATGCTTGATAAAGAATGCTTTCCCTATTAATGTCCTGAACTGGGGAGGGTGGGGTACTTAAAGAGATTCTTGGGCCTTGCTTCAATAGATCTCAAGCTCATATGATTTTAAGGTACCATTTTTTTTTTTTTTTGGGTCCGGTCGTGGGGCCTGAACTCTGGGCCTGGCGCTGTCCCTCAGCTCTTCAGCTCAAGGCTAGCGCTCTACCACTTGAGCCACAGCACCACTTCTGGTTTTTTTCTTTATGCTTATGTGGTACTGAGGAATCAAACCCAGGGCCTCAGGCATGCAAGGCAAGCGCTCTACCACTGAGCCACCTTCCCAGCCCTGCTCATATGATTTTAAGAAATCCCCAAGGGTTTCTATAGCAAGACCAAATTTTGATCTATATCTATGGGAACTAGGAAAAAACTAACAAAAACACAGAAAAAAAGAAAATCCTACCAGGTACTGGTAGCTCATGCCTATAATCCTAGCTACTCTGGAGGCTGAGAACAAAGGATTGAGTTCTTGTAGTTTTTTTTTTTTTTGGGGGGGGGTCTGGTTGTGGGGCCTGAACTCTGGGCCTGGGCACTGTCCCTCAGCTCTTCAGCTCAAGGCTAGCACTCTACTACTTGAGCCACAGCACCACTTCCGGCTTTCTTCTTTTTGCTTATGTGGTGCTGAGGAATCGAACCCAGGGCTTCATGCATGCAAAGCAAGGGCTCTACCACTGAGCCACCTTCCCAGCCCCAAAGGACTGAGGTTTGAGCCTGCCCTGGAAAGAAAGTCCATGATACTCTTATCTCCAATTAATCACAGAAAAAGCTAGAAGTGAAACTATGGCTCAAACTATGGTAGAGTGCTAGCCTTGAGCAAAAAGGAGTTTTGGAACAGCATCTAGGTCCACTGTTCAAACCAGGACCAGAAAAAGAAATAAGAAAAAAGAAAAATCCAAACATTTTGAATTGATTGGGAAAGGAAATGCAAATCTGTCTTGGTAAGAAACCTTTCTTACCTAGGAAACTGAGTTGTGGAATGAGATAGTGGTGAAGACACATGAAAAACATTTTGGAGAGAGAGAGCAGGCAAAAATGGAACCCCCAGCTGGGCGCTGGTGGCTCATGCCTGTAATCCTAGCTCCTGAGGAGGATGAAATCTGAGGATTTTGGTTTGAAGCCAGCTAGGGCAGGAAAGTTTTTGAGGCTTTTTGTTTTGTTTTTTTATCAGTTATGGGGCTTGAACTCTGGGCCTGAGCACTGTCCTTCAACTCTTCAGCTTAAGGCTAGTGCTCCACCACTTGAGCTACAGCGCCACTTCCCATTTTCTGGTGGCTTACTGGAGATAAGAGTTTCATGGCTTTTCCTGCCTGGGCTGGCTTTGAACAGCAATCCTCCGATTTCAGCCACCTGAGTAGCTAGGATTACAGTCATGAGCCACTGGCACCAGGCTTCTGTGAGACCCTCACTCTCATTTTGTGATTCTCAGGCTACTAGGGCTAGATATGGTAACTATTTCTGAAACATTGAGATCTAGTATTTTAGCTTAGATTTCCCTTCCCTGCATAAAGAGACTGCTTCTGGCTCAGGACAGGAGATGTTAGCCTGCTCAAGATAGATGGCATCGCCAACCAAATCTGTGTCTTGGTTTCTCCATCTTAAGAAGTCCAAGAATTCAACTAATCTCTATTGACTGAACATTATACCAGTCTCCTTTCAAGAACCCCTGCAGGTGAAACACAATCCCAAGGAAATCCTTAGGTTGTAGAACTTGGAGGCAGCAGGTGTGGAGACATTCTTATGCAGGAATCCCCCTGGACTCAAACTTACCCCTTCTTTCTTCCAAGATTAGTGCTAGAATAAAGCATCAATCCACCAGAGAGGGTCAGGAAGGGAAAAGTTAACCAGCTAGCCAGTGGCTCCTGCCAGGGAGCCATATCCTCCACCAGCTGATGGAAGGTAAGAGCAAGAAGGGCTAGGACTCACAGGTCAGATACTTGAAGGCAGGATGGGCACCAGTGCCAATGACTGCGACCTTACTAAACATGGGGAAAGATACACTGTAGGTGCGGCGAGCAAAGCTCTCAATCTCCCTGTTGCTGTCTGGCTCCTGTTGGCCAAACTGGTTGCAGGGAAAGGCAAGCACGTTGAAGTGGTAGGGTCCTAGATCCCGCTGCAGCTGCTGCAGTGCTCGGTAGTGCTGGTCTGTGAAGCCACACTCACTAGCCACGTTCACCACCAGAGATACCTGCATGGTGAAAAAAAAACAAAAATAACAACAAAAAACAAATCCTAGATATATACACAGCCCCGTATATGCGTGTGCTCCCCCAAGAATCAACATCCCCTCATACATGCAAAAATACTCAGAACATATGAAAGTGTGTGCAATGCTCTCATACATACCGAAACACATGCACACTGGCACATAAATTAGCATGAAGTTGCTTAGAGATGTGTGCATACATAATGAACATCTGTAAGTGTAAGTATATAATGAATACTCATAAATGGATATTCATGTTCTATGACTCAAACATACATTAGCCAGTACAAATACATACTGCAGTCATGGGAAGGTGGTGTGAGGGAGGGGAAGAGGGAGGGGAAAGGCAACACCCTATTCCTTTTTTGGCTCAGTCAGCTAGCATTCCATCCACAATACTGTAGTTGCTTGTATATGGTTGATCTCCCTTCTAGAATGGGAACATACTGAGGGCAAGAGCTATGTCCAGGATATCTCTGGGGAAAAATAAATGAGTGTGCACATATTCATAAACACCTACATGAGTACCTAAACAGACTTAGTGGATTTTTTTTTTGATAAAATGATCATTAGGACCCTAGGGCAATCTTTATTTTTGTTCTTTCTCTGATTACTGATCACTAATTTTTTTTTTTTTTTGCGGTTGTGGGGCTTGAACTCTGGGCCTGGGCGCTGTCCCTCAGCAATTCAGCTCAGGGCAAGCGCTCTACCATTTGAGCCACAGCACCACTTCCAGTTTTCTAGTGGTTTATTGGAGATAGGAGTTTCACGGTCTCTCCTGCCCAGGCTGGCTTTGAACTGAGATCTTCAGATCTCAGCCTCTTGAGTAGCTAGGATTACAGGCGTGAGCTACTGATCACTAATTTTATTCAAGGCTTTGGGCAACACATATAAGGCTAGATGGTATCAGTAGGTTATACTACTGCAATCAAATTTTTGGCACCAATGGATACATTTTTTAGCTGCTAACTCTATATTATTAGAGGATAAGAAACCCTACCCTGTGCCTGGGAAGCCTAGCCTCAAATTCCAGGCTGCTTTTTGAGAAGAGTCAGGAAAAGGGATAGGATAGTCTTGAGCACTGGACACAAATTTCTCAGACTAGATAGGTTTGTCTCAACCTTAGCACTATTGATACTATGAGCAAACAGTTCTTTGTTATGGGGAAGTGGGGCTGTCCTGTTTGTTGTAGGATATTTAGCAGCATCCTTGGCCTCTACTCACTAGATGGTTAGTCTTAAAAATAAAAAATGTTTTAAAAAGCCATGTGTGATGATGCATGCCTGGAATCAAAACACTTGGAAGGCTAAGGCAGAAGGACTGTTTCAGGCCAGCCTGGGTGACAAAGAGATCTTGTCTTAAAAAAGAGTGTCAGGGGCTGGGAAGGTGGCTCAGTGGTAGAGTGCTTGCCTTGCATGCCTGAGGCCCTGGGTTCCATTCCTCAGCACCACATAAGCAAAAAGAAAAAAGCCGGAAGTGGCGCTGTGGCTCAAGTGGTAGAGCGCTAGCCTTGAGCTGAAGAGGTGAGGGACAGCGCCCTGGCCCAGAGTTTAGGCCCCATGACTGGACCCCAAAAAAAAAAAAAAAAAAGTCTCAGCTGGGGACCAGTGGCTCAGACCTATAATCCTAGCTACTCAGGAGGCTGAGATCTGAGGCTCACAGTTTGAAGCCAGCTTGGATGAAAAGTCCCCATAAGTCTCTAATCTCCAATCAGCCATTCAAAAAACAGGACGTGGCACTGTGGCTGAAGTGGTAGAGTGCTAGACTTGAGCACAAAGAGGCTTAGGGACAGTGCCCAGGCCTGAGTCCAAGCCTCATAACCAATGAAAAACAAAAAAAAGTCTCTTGACATTATCACATGTTGGGGGGGGGCTGCAAAATCACACACACACACACACACACACACACACACACACCACTCACCTGTTGATCCACTGAGTTTTAACTCTATCCACTATGGACAACAGAGGAAAGACATTTCCTAGGGCCATATGCTGTATCAATACCCTTACCTGCCATTTATGGTCAGCAAAAGCCATAATCTGCTTGGAGTGGAGAGAAACTAGGACTACTGGGTTCAAGCCTACCTCTTAGTAGCTCAAAACCTTGTTCTATTTTTGTCTTAGCATTCTTGCTGTCAGGAATTACCTTATTCATTCCCCTTCCCGACTGTCTCTTTCCTACCCACAAAAGCTCTATAAAGGCAGAAACCTTGTCTGTCTACTTCATCACTATATCCCCAGGGCCCAGCCTAGTAACTAGTATACAAAGGTACTAAATGATGAACAGTGAATTAATGAATAGTTGAGATGATTAGATGACAAACTTGGGCCCTCCTATAAGCTGCTTTAGTGGGAAGGGGAGGCCTAACAGGAATGGGCCCTGTTCTCCTCTACTCTTTGTCCTGAGTTCTGGACAAGGTTCCTGATGAGATCCACCAAACAGGTACAGAACACTCTACAGATTACTAGGTGCTTCCACAGTCATCTCATGAAACTCACAGCGCCTGGGAGATGGTCAGGATTACTGCTGCAAAGACTCCTGGCATGACTGAGAATTTCAATGATTGTAAAGTTTGTCACCAAAGATGGCCTTGCTCCTAATAAAAGCATGGTGACTGCCATTTTTCGTTTGGTCCATCCAACTCTGGATGATGTGCTTATTGAAGTCCAATCCCCCACTTTTCTACACCAGGGTTCCCAGGTCCAGGCACTAAGAGGCAACCTTGTGTGTGGGGGGGGTGTAGAGGTTATGGGGGGGTGGGGGTGGTTCTTCATTGTATTGGTATACCACCTGGACCTCTGACTGTGTGGTTCAAGGTCCCTTTTGGTCTCCTCTGGCTCATTCAGCCTCATCTTCACCACTGAGCATCAGAGGTTCATATTCTCAAGCGTTCTGCTACAAACCGTTGGCACCCTTAGCTTCTAGGCCTAGATGCGGTAGGGACAGTTCTCTTCGTCTGGAAGGCCCTTCTCAGTTTTGCTAACATCCATTCCTGTTTCAAAGACTCAACCCTAACGCACTTGCTCTCAGACCCAGATTCTTTTTTCTTGATAAGGAGGGGCCCCTTCTCGGGGAAGAGTAGCATCTTGGCCTGGACTGCTCTCTAAGGAATGGCCTATTGCGGAGGAGGAAAGACAGAAGAGTGTGGGCTTCTCTTCCAGGCTGCGTGGCCCGGGTGGCTCCCGGGGCCTTGGTGGTCTCTGTCAACGGGCTATGCATGCAAGGGGCGGGTGCATCTAACATGCACCGCCCTCCCTCCGCAACGCACCTGAGTCTCTACCGAGTTCGCAGCAAATCCCTCCCCTCAATACAAGGAAACGGGACCGGGGAGGCGAGGTCGGTGCGGGCTTCGGTGTCTGCCAAGGCCGTGCCACGTTGGCGCGGGACAGAGAGGGACTCAGGATCCCAGCGCGCTGCGCGGGGCCGGGGTGGGGGACTGGCGGGGGGCCCGGGTGGGGGCGGAGGGGCGCTCCCCCCCCCCCCCCCGAGCGGTGCTCCCCTCCCCCTCCTCCCCTCCCCCTCCTCCCCTCCCCCGCCAGGTCCCAGCCCGGCAGCGGCGCCGGGCCCGCGGCGGAGCGGCACTCACCGAGCCCCGGTACTTCTCCAGCGACACCAGCTTGCCCCGGATGTTGACCACCTGGAAGTCGTAGAAGTCCGGCTCCGGCCGCGCGCAGGCCGCGCCCCACAGCAGCAGCCACGCCGCCGCCGCCACCACCACGGCCGCCGCCATGACTCGCTCCCGAGGCCTCGCCTGGCCGGGATGGGGGGCACCGGCGTCGGGGGCGGGAGGGGGCGGCCCGCGAGGCTGGACGCGCCCCCTTTGCCCGCGCTCCGCCGGCGGTGGAGCTCCGGGCCCGGGTATTTCTGTTTCCCCAGATGTCCTGCGGGTATGCACGGCCCTGTTGGCCCGGCCTCGGACCCCCACGCCCCCCAGCCATGGTGTCAGGATTCTGGACACCAAGCAGAGAGCTGGCATCAGTGAGTCTCCCCCTCACTCGGGGAGGGCCCACACTAGTAGAGAGCCAAAGACAAAAATCTGAGCCTGAGTGGAAGTTGTGGTTAGTGTCTGGCCCTGCAGCAGGCTTCTCCACCATCCCAGGCCTCAGTTTCTCCGCTCAGGTAGTAGACTACCCCTTTGCCATCCACCTAAGTCCCTGTCGGTGGGAATGCTGTACCAGGGCAGAAAAATGGATGCGGCACATGTGAACAATTAACAAACTAAGGTGCATGAATGATGTGTCCTGAAAGTAACAGCTGGGAGAAGGCTGCTACTGCAGGTTGGGCATGGAGATTGGAATGCAGGAGGTTTAGGAGGAAGCACCCTTAGGATCAGTAGCAGGGAGGGAACACAGGTGGCAGAGAGAGAAGTGGAGAGCTCAGGCAGGACTAAAGGCGACTCACCCAACAGGGCTGCAAGCTAAAATGGTCCATCAAAGTTGTTTGCAGATGAGCTAAGGTGGCCAGGCCTTTGTTCCTCAGTCCCCCTCAGTCACTAGATATAGGGCTAGGTGGGAAGACACGGCAGAGCCAAGAAGACCCAGTATTGACTGTTAAAGACTGTATGCGAAAAGCACTTCTCAGGAGCTGTTGTTACTAGTCTGCAAAGACAAAATTAGAGCATTATATCACAGAGTTTTCCAGGCTCTAGAAAACAATATTGAACCTCATAAAGAGCCAGGCATGAGGCTAGATCCTCCAGGAACTCACATCCTGATATGAGGAAGCAGGCAGACTGGAGATTTAGAATATTGTGATCATCTCTCTGTGTTTCTGTCTCTCTGCTGGTTCTGAGACTTGAACTCAGGGCCTGGGTAATCTCCTTGAGATTTTTGTGCTCAAGGCTAGAACTCTTATCATTTGAGCCACAAATACACTTCTAGATCTTTTAGTGTTTATTTGAAGAGTCTCACAGACTTTCCTGCCCAGGTTGGCTTTGAACTGTGATCTTCAGATCTCAGCCTCCTGAACAGCTAGGATTACAGGTTTAAGCCATTAGTGCTGCCACTGGATGCAGATGGGAGTTTGTGCCTACCTTTAGAGGTAGGGACTCTTAGGTTCCTTGACTTTGATTGCAGAATAAGAATTTCTGGGGCTGGGAAGGTGGCTCAGTGGTAGAGCGCTTGCCTTGCACGCATGAGGCCCTGGGTTCGATTCCTCAGCACCACATAAGCAAAAAGAAAAAAGCCGGAAGTGGCGCTGTGGCTCAAGTGGTAGAGCGCTAGCCTTGAGCTGACGAGCTGAGGGACAGCGCCCAGGCACAGAGTTCAGGCCAGACCCAAAATAAATAAATAAATAATAAAGAATTTCTGGACAAGTCATAATGGTAAGAAAACTTGGCAGAGCTTTATTAAGTAAGCAAGCAGGCAAGCAGTCAAGCAGAAAGGCAGGGGCATGCTCTAACAGAGTGTGAGCACTCTCAAGAGGAGACATCCTGGGCTTGACATCAGGGGTATTTATATGATAAAGGCAGGGTCTGACTTAAAGTTATGCAGATAAGTGTTTAATCTTTGCTCCTAATCATTCTTGGTGTTATGCTTTTATCACTGGGATTCAGGGGCTCTGAGACTGACCTGTACTTTACATATATGGCCATGATGTTTGGACATCCCTTTTAGAAAAGAATGCATTCTGCCATATATTTTAACTTTTATTTATTTATTTACTTTTTGGTTGGTCTTGGGCCTGAACTCTAGGACTGAACACTGTTCCTCAGCTCTTCAGCTCAAGGCTAGCACTCTACCACTTGAGCCACAGTGCCACATCTGGGTTTTTCTGTTTATGTGGTGCTGAGGAATCAAACCCAGGGCCTCATGCATGCGAGGCAAGCGCTCTACCCCTGAGCCACCTTCCCAGCCCCTGTGCCATATATTTTTAAATCAGTGTTTATCCTTGAGACAGCAAGCATCTAGCGACAAATGTTTATCCTTTGAGATAAGCATGTTGTGCCAGGAGGAGCCATTTTTCCAAGTATTTGCTCCTCCAGGATACATGTCTTTTTTTTTTTTTTTTTTTGGTCTTGAACTCTGGACCTGGGCGCTGTCCCTGCGCTCTTAAGCTCAAGGTGAGCACTCTACCACTTGAGCCACAGGGCCACTTACGGGTTTCTAGTGATTTATTGGAGATCAGAGTTTCACAGACTTTTCTGCCCGGGCTGGCTTTGAACCATGATCCTCAGATCTCAGCCTCCTGAGTAGCTAGGATTACAGGCATGAGCCACAGATGACTAGCACATGTCTTTTTTATGATGTCTTTTCTCAGTTTTTAGAGCACACTAATTGTTTAGGGCCAGCTGGCAAGGTCAGATGGAGAAAGCTGCTCTTGCTTTTTTTCCCCTTGTGTTAACACTGTAGCTTATGAAGGAGTACAGGGGTGAACAAAGATAGTGCTCTTTCTACATACACTATTTCTAAAATTCCTGGTTACCATTCATCTTAGTTTCCCTAGTCTATCCTGATTCATTTTCCCCTAAAATGACTTTGGTCCCTTAATCTTAAGGGAAGGTGATTGGTAAAGATCAGTCTCCTGGGGGCTGGGAAGGTGGCTCAGTGGTAGAGCGCTTGCCTTGCATGCATGAGGCCCTGGGTTCAATTCCTCAGTACCACATAAGCAGGAAAAGCCAGAAGTGGCGCTGTGGCTCAAGTGCTAGAGCACTAGCCTTGAGCTGAAGAGCTGAGGGACAGTGCCCAGGCCCAGAGTTCAAGTCCCAAGACTGGCAAAAAAAAAAAAAAAATCAGTCTCCTGTACTTGCTTTAAGCTGACTTTTAAAAATTTCTGGCTGTCACCATGACTCATTTTCCCTAATGTGTTCTGTCTCAGTGCCAGGTGATAATTACTTTTTGAAGACATTTATTTATTTATTTATTATCAGTGAAATGAGCTCCCTTCCCATAGCTTAGTCTACTCCTTCCCCTCTCCACAGCTTAGCATGCTCCCTTCCTAGGCAACACTGGGCCCATGTAGTAAAGGCAGTAAATAATCAGCCCTCCACCCCCTTTACCTTGAGATGGCACTGCTCTGGGGCAGCTACCACCATATAAGGCAACAAGAGCCCCTTAGAGTGACCTTCATGTCTGGGCAGTTGCAGGACCCCTTATCTACTATTTGGACAGCAGCCATAAATCCTAGTCCGCCATGATGAAGCAACTGGCCCTCATGTCCACACCAGGGGCTCCGCCTCCTAGCCCCTCCTAGCCCTCCTAAGTTATATAGGTCTCACTTCGCCCTCATGAGAAGGGGTCTTGCCCACCCCTTTCCTAGCAATAAACCTTCCTTTGTTTTCTGTACTTGGATGTCTGCGTGGTTTTCTGGCAGACCAAATAATCTAACATTTATTTATTTGTTTGTTTGTTTATTTATATTTTGCCAGTCCTCAGGACCTAGGCACTGTCCCTGAGTTGCTTTTTTTTTTTTAAATTATGAAAATACCATACAGACGGGTTACAATTACATGGGCAAGGTAATGAGTGCATTTCTTATCAAGCATTGTTGCCTCCTCCTTTGTTTCCCCTTCCCATCCCTTCTCCCCCCCCACCCCCCAAGTTGTAAAGTTTGTTTTAAGACATAACTACTTGTCCTGAGTTGCTTTTGCTCAAGGATAGCACTCTACCACTTGAGCTACAGCGCCACTTTTGGCCTTTTCTGTTTATGTGTACTGAGGAATCGAACCCAGGGCTTCATGCATGCTAGGCAAGCACTCTACGACTAAGCCACATTCCCAATCCTAAGACATTTCCTTTTTTTGCTATTATTGTTGGTGATCTTAAGACTTGAACTTGGGGCCTGGACACTGTCACAGAACTCTTGTTGCTCAAGGCCACTGTTCTACCACTTTGAGCTACGGTACCGCTTGCTGTTTTCTATTGGAGATACGAGTCTCATGGACTTTCCTGCCCAGGCTGGCATCAAATTGTGATCCTCATATCTCAGCCTCCTGAGTAGCTAGGATTACAGGCATGACCCTCCCGCTCTAGCTTTGAGAACATTTTCTATGCCAAGTTCTGCTCCAGATGTCTCTGATGTAGTGATGGACGGGATAGGCATGGTCCCTATCATGGGAGATAGACATTAAATAATTCATAATTAGCTATCAAACTACTATTATGCCAAGTATCCTAAACTACCCCAGAGGCCTAAGGAGAACTTCCTAGAAAAGAGATTTAAGCTGAACTCTGATGAATGAGTAAAAATTGGCCAGCTTAAAGCAGTGAAGCATGTGCAAAGGTCCTAAGAGAAGAGAGGCGTGGTGTACTGACACAAAGAAGGCTGTTTGGCCAGAGTAGAGAAGAACAAAGGATGTGAGGGGAAGTTCCAGAGGCAGGAGTGAGTGAGCTCACACAGAACAGGACTTGCTGAGGCAAAGGCAATGGAATAGCCAGATGCTGGTGGCTCACACCTGTAATCCCTGCTACTGAGGAGGCTGGTATCTGAGGATTTTGGTTCAAAGCCAGCCTGAGCAGGAATGTCATGAGACTCTTATCGCTAATTAACTACGAGAAAGGGCACTGTGGCTCAAAGTAGAAGAGTATTAGCCTTGAGTAAAACCTTGGTAAAAGAGTGTAGGGACAAGCCAGGTGCCAGTGGCTCACACCTATAATCCTAGCTACTCAGGAGGCTGAGATCTAAGGATCACGGTTCAAAGCCAGCCTGGGCAGGAAAATCTGTGAGACTATCTCCAATAAAACCACTAGAAAACCGGAAGTGGTACTGTGGCTTAAGTGGTAGGGCGCTCGCCTTG